AAAGTTTTCAAGCATGTTGAACATTTGTACTTAGTGCATCGAGTGTTATTACTTAGTCACTTTGAGAAAAAGCTAAAGTAGATTAAGGGACAGTCCGCAGCTAAAGCGTATAAAAATACAAGAGTTTTACTATAACTTTCATATATTGATGGAATACCAACAATAAGAAAAATTATATAGTAAAAAAAAAAAAAATCTTGATTTTATTATTATTAGAATCATAATAGCATGTTCTACTTTACTGAAACATAAAAAATTACTGTTATTTTTATTTTAAAATAATAATATACTTCAAAACATCGTAGATATTATTTTTAAAAAAAGTTTTAAAAATATCCTATTCTAGACGTTAGAGATGTATGGCTTTTAGTTCTTTTCTAATATAATAAAAAAAATTTGTTAATAATAATAATCATCAAGTAAGCATGATTTTATTTTCGTTCATAGTATACAAAGCTCCTTTACGGAACAAGAAAGATTATGACTGTTCATAATCAGAACTAGTAGGCCTTATTCCAGGAACTACATCAAACTACCAATTGTGTCAGAAAAGACCGTCTTGACAACCACTTACTCAGGAGTCTGACCAAGAGCGGCCCATAGGTAGCCTGAAGGATTTATAACTTATGAGCTAATAATAAAAAATACTTACATCATTTCTAAACTGCTTCTTTTGAGACCGTGGTTTTTTATATTTCCAGCACGTAGCATATATACTACCGGTGTAATGACATTCCGAATGAAAAAATAAAAAATAACAAAAAAAAATTCGCGTCTAAAATTTGTCGCGAGATCCTCTAATGAATGTATGACTTGTCTCGAGGTCATAGGACTGATTGGCTGATGCAGATCAATTGCCCGGGTACTTTTTGAGAACATAACGATAACAGTGATATTGATATTTTTAATGCGATAACGATCGGGTGTAAAATCGCTGGGGGTTTCTTAAAGCGGGCAGATTTCATATATCGATATTGATCTACATACTGCATAAATTGTATTAATAACCTACTAACCCTAATCTATTAAAAACATCAAAAACGCGAATGAAAATGTAAGGAAACAAGTTCGTGATAGAAAATTAAGGCACTTTTTATACCGAATTATTGTGAAATTTCAAATTATTGAGTTCGTTATAGAAGGTTCAATATCAACTGTACTAATTCTGGAAACTTATTAGTAATTCCAATAATGCCGATTTGTATCCAAGCTATAAGTGTCATTCTCCAACACTTTAAGTAACTTGCAGAGGAGTAGCTTTCAATCGTTGTGCTTGTATTTGCTGGATCTTGTAAACCCTTAATACGGAAATCAGAAGTTTTCACGTGTTATAAAGGTTTAAAGTCGACTATTAGCCAATTTGTTGATAAGCGATTCTTCGAATTCATTATGAGGTAAAAATGGATGGTCTTGAGATTCGATTATCAGATAGATAAAATAAATTTGTATTTTATCGAATTTAAAATCAACTTAGGTTGCTTTTAAATTTTGTATCAACTTGAGCTACATTTAGAATTTCGTTCCAACTTAAGTTGATTCCAAATTTACAATAATTCTATTTCGACGTACGACATTCACAAAATATCAAAATTATTTTGTTTTAATTTTTTATAAAAGCAATTTGTTTTTTGTGGTTTGGGATTTGTTTGGGTTTGCCAGCATGGCCCGCTAAAATATTGTACCCGGATATAAATCAAAAACTCCTTAATTAATTTGATTTGCATTTGAAGAATGCTATATGAAGAGGAGGCTACAATTCAGAGGGGGGTCTTTTGAATCGATCTTTAGACAGATTTACATTTTTATTGGACATGACTAGTTCTGCAAGCTTAGAATTTTCGCGTGATGGTATTGAAATCTACCTCGGGTAAGACTGAATATAGTGTTTTATGATAGTTGTTTAAGGTTTATCTGATCTGAGTAACCAATCAAAATAATGATAAAAAAATAATAATAATAAAGCGGTTGATAGTGGTCTAAAAATTTCGAGCTCACAAATTTCGAAAATACGTAAAGTAGTAGTTTACAAAATTTTGAAAATATAGGTAGAATCCAAATAAGCATACCATGTAATTTGTACTCAATTATGGGATAAAATGGATTAAGTTTACTTTTATGCTTGATTAGACATTCGATCTTGGTGAATTTAAATAGTAGCAAAAACGTTTCACCTTGAGTTCTACATTAAAGTCTCAAATAGAGTGATTACTCTAAGAATTCTCGATAAGTAATTGCTAGACTAACAGGTAATCTAGAATAATAATCGAATTGTTGCAACCCCAATTATTCGAACCAAGTCTTTCATAATTCTATTAAAGCCATCAATTATCAAGGTTTATTTTAAAAATTTCTGGTGCAGAGCGGAGGAACTCAAGTCCAGGCAATAGATAGATATATTAGGTTAAAATAAGATAAAAAGTTATTTGCAGATTTCAAATATTCAAATAAATCATATTAATTATTTAGTGGTGAAATACTTGATTTATTGGTATATGACGTATTATACATTTAATAAATTCAGAAAATTTACAAGATATAATAACAATTGATATACAATTTATTTGCATCTTTTAATTAATTTGTTTTCATAATCCGGCCATATTAACTTTTAACTTTTAAAAATTAAGATTAAAAATTAAGATTGTTTAATTTATTTTCTTATAGACGGTTTACAAGCCGCTTTGAAAATTAATATATAAGAACTAATTACTTATCTATTGTGCGAGAGAACATTACGTCATTAATCATGATATAACTACATCGTATTAACATATAAATAAGTATATAATAATTATATATTTGCACTATAAATTAATAGATCTAAGCAATTTTGAAAGTTCGTTTACTGATAAGAAGCAGTATTGATTGTTAGTCTCGATTTGTATTAGTGTCGGACCATTTTACACTTTCATAAAGTGCGTATATACATACATACATATTTATTTTGCTGCACTTGATTAATCTCTTAGAGTTAAAAAAATTCACTTATTACGAATTTAGTAACGTTCATCTTTATAGAAATTTATACTTTTAACTACAATTAACTCACAACAATTACAAAGCAAACTATATACTTTAATTAAAATTATTGACTTTCAAATAATTATTTTCATTTAATAAAAAAAAACCTTTTTATTACAAAATATATTCATTATAAAAAAAACTTTATTACATAATATATTTAATTATAAAAAAAACTTTTTTATTTCATAATATATTCTATTATAAAACTATAAACTTTTAGTTGTAAATAATTTTCGAAAATAAATCTTGTTTCGTCCGATTTTTGTTTGAATTTTCGTCCGATTTTCGTTTAAATTTTCGTTCAATTTTTGATCGATTTTCATTCAATTTTCTTTAATTAACACCAAATAATTAACGAACAAATATAAATCATCTACTCAGTATAAAAGAAATAGGTAAGTACTTGAGTGACCTAAATACCTTAGAATATAGCACGTCAACAACCACCAGTGGTAGCATAACCTAGAAGCCTAGAAGCGATATCCGAGAGTTTTTTTGTAAAAAAAAAGTTCAATTAACTTAATGAGCTTAATATTAATACTCATCTGTTAACCGAAAAATATAAAGTGTAATAAATAATAATGTTTAAAAAGAGGTATAAGTAGAATATATAAAGAAAAAAAAAAAGAAAAAGCAGTTCTTATATATCTTTTTTTTGCTAACACGTCCATTGTTTTGAAATTTTCAAAACACATTTAATTTTATAGCCAACTTCACGTTTTGTGTTGATAGAAATCTGTTATCAAACAAATCAGTAACATCATGCATGGATGTTATTTTTTTGAAAACTTCGCGTTACACGTGATTTGCGAAAACAAAAATCACGTGTAACGCGATATTCAAAAAATCGCGTGTAACGCGAAGTTTTTCGAAAAATCGCGTATATTTCAAAATAATTGAAATTACCTTTTACTACCTCATATTGCCATAGCAGGAACAATTTGATTATTAAACACGAATTATTTGATACAACTAGTATATAAATATCTACGAATCTAAAATATTAATTATTTGTGAAACCGTTGGATTATTTTATTGGAAAAATGGCTTTTAGAAATCAGTACATTTCTGATACGTACGTATCAAAAACTGAAACGAATTAAATGAATACAAAAATTTATTTAAAAAAACAAAAAGTTTTTTTTTATTAAGAAATTGCTATATTGTATATGTAACTATATGTAATTATACAAGTAATATATAAATTAACTTTCTTCATATTGATATCTAACTAAATTCACACTACTTAATATCAATAAATGAATTATAATCACACGTGTCTATAAACTAATCTATATATTTCCAAAAAAATCCATTAATAAAAATTCTATGCCACATCCAAACTTTATTTAAATAATTCCTATAGAAAATACTACGCCATATCCAATCACCATCTTGTTTTTGATTATGATAATGCTACGAAATTCATCAATCCAAAATACTGATGATGCTATAACTATAAGTCCAAAAATATCATCAAGTCTTAATGCTTCGGTTTGAAAAACAGCTTGGAAAAATGCCCAACAAATGAAAATGCTACTGCTAAATTAAACATTGGATTTGAAAATATTCCTAATTTAAAAATACAACTTAAAAGCATTAAACATATCAAAAAATACAAAAAATGTAAATGTCTAGATAAAATCAATTAACATGTTAATAAATGAAAATGTAAATAAAACCTCAATACTATAAATACAAAATAAAACTTGAATATCTTACAATCGTTGTGTCTCTTGCTGTAACGATACTGTCTCGCATTTCAGTAATATACGTAAATAAGGTACCAGCAACGATAATCGCAGAGCAAGTAAGTACACGCATGATCAGTGCTGGTGTAAGTATTGGTGCGTTTTTCTTTCGTGGAGGTTGCTTCTTACATTTTCATCTACTGGTTCGACGCCGAGAGATTGTGGGGAGGACCATTCATTAATATGTCTTAATTACATAAAGTATATGTAAAAAATTTCGCATGATTAATTTATGCCATAATCAATAAAACTAATTTTAAATAAACAATTTTTAATACCTTCTTTTACAGCATCCAATATAGTCACGAACTCATCATTGACTAAAATAATATCAGCTGCTTCTCGGGAGACATCGGATCCACTTTTACCCATAGATATGCCAATATCGGTAATTTTCAATGCTTGTGCATCATTTACTTTAAGAGAAATAACATAACATAAAAATATATAAGATATAAATCAAAAATAATTAAGTATAAACATTTATAAACATTCCAAATGTTAAAAGAATAGCCTAACACCGTCCCCTGTCATTGCTACAATTGAACCATTTGATTGAAAGGCTTGTATTATTTTTTGGAGCTGTTCTTGCAAACACAGTTACTTAGTCAAAAACTGACTTTAAATATTCACCCGAAATAGCTTCAATATCTGCACCAGTTAGACAATTAGAATGATTTTCTGGATTTACTGGTATACCAAACTTTCGTGCAATTGAAAGTGCTGTAAAAAAATAATCAAAAGTTAGAAAAGAGAACATTTAAAAAATGGTTAACTGCCAGAATTTCCTGTTATTATGACTACCAATCAACTGCTTTATAGTCTTCTTAACTCCTATATACACATTATTTAGAAACCATATATATATAAATTATAAATAATATATAATAATAATATTTTCTTTTTCTTTTTCATAATAAATATAGGTCGTATAACTATATAACTGATAATAACGTGAATAATTAATTCAGCATATATACAAGTTACGGCACATCGTAATTTAAAGCAAAAAGTTAATAACTAGTTATAATGTATGGACGGATTGTGATTATAAAGTTTGATCCAATCATTTATGATGTTGCAAAATTGCCAGTATTATAGAAAAATTTATGTGAAATTTGAAACATTTTTTTTGACTTTAGACTAGACAAGATTTGCGCATTTATCATTTGTAAAAATTTGTTTGAATATTTTAATGCGCTATTTCTGCAAATATATTACAAAATGAACATTCAATTTTTATTTCTGTAAAAAATAAAATTTTTTTGTCTAATCTAAAAGTCAAAAATTGAATTGTATGAATTTTAAGATTTGTTGATTGTCTTCAGAGTTATTAATTGTTTATGAAACCGTCATGAAATTGTTTATGTAAATATGATCAAATAAAACATTTTATTGGTATTTGTTTGGTTAATTGTATACTTACTTATTAATATTTTGCGATATTATATAGGTATCACTTAATTTTTAATGGTCACGTTATCCTATCGTTACATTACGCCACATCCAATCAGAGTTAGTGAATTATCAATAATGAAGATAAATCTATAGAGAACTTATTAATAAATTTGATTAATAATCAATTGATTGTAATATCACATCAAATAAATTTTAGAAATACCCTAGTACAAAAATGGCTTTTATGAAAGTGAAGGAAAACTTTATTGTACTTCTTACAAATGTAATCTAGATTCAAGCAGCTGATAAACAAGAACTCCTCAAGTTAACCACCAAAATCAGTTCCGTAAAAATACAGTATTATATGAATTTTCAGGTGATTTTATTACGAAAATTTTTATTATATTAAACTATATGTACACATCACTCTTGATATAACGTAGTGCCTCGGGCACATAGTGAGGAATTTTTTAAAATCCGCTTTATCGTGAGTTTTATTAGTAAATCCATTATATCAAGCAG